AATCATACAGAAATCCTGTATAGAATTCAATGAACATATTGTACTTATAATCGTATAGGTAATGGGAAGAATTATGTAACATTTTTTAGTACATAGGGACTATATTGTATTTTTTCTTAATTTTATAAATAGAAATCGATTTCTTTTCAATAAAATTCATATTGCTATACTGTGTGTTTATTTTAAAGGTGCGAACCACAAAGAAGCTCATAAATCTAATGCAATAGACTAATACCCCTTATTATACAGTTTAATATCCCTTATTATATAGTTTAATACAGCCAACTAAACAAGGTTCTTGTCACAGAAACTCGGTATTATATGATATAGCACAACACATATTGTCTTAATTAAACAAAGAAATAGACTGTACTGGCTATTTAATTAATCAGATTATTACCCGTTATTGTACATTTTAGTAACTGCAATTCTACATTTTAGTTACCACAGCTTGAGATCCAATTGTGGTAAATAAGCAAATATTAAATTATGTGTATTAATGGTTAGTGTATTCCAGCACACTTAGTGAACTGCTATATAACCCTAATTAATCAAACTCACAAAGCTAAGTTTGATTACAATAATTAAACTTTTTATCTGTCCCATATAGTATTAAAGTTTTTTATTATGGTTATTACATTTTCAGTAAGCGCTATCAAACTTTTTTCTCAGTGTAGGAATGTATCTTTATCATATTGGCAAAACGACAAAGGAAACAATTAATAACATTTGTAATCAGTAATCAAATACTTTAACTAATTCTATGGTAAAGTAATTGTGACCAGTAATCGAAAACGGTCGTTGAGACGGTTGAGTAATCATCTTACCTCTGTTTTCCATTTACCTTATTGATTTTTGACACTACTACTATGTAATCGATTTTAAGCAAAAACAGGAAATTGAAACTGGCATGAATAAAGAGAAAGAAATACTCCCATAGAATGGGCATAATATAATTAATAGTTTTGAGTTTAAACCAATAAGCGCATTCAATTTTAATTGGGAGCGAAAGGGTAGAAACTCGGGTAGAAAGTATACCCTGAAGCTTTGAGGTTTAACTACACACACTTATAATTATGATTTCCAAATCCCACCGTTCATCGGGTCACAATAAGTCGTAGGTACCCTCTCACTGACTCCTCCTGTTAGTAGGGTTAGGATGTTTCAAAGCAATTTGTAGAAACTGTAGGTTCTTGTACTGAGAGTCAATTTACGGGGCAAGCATATACTATGAAAAATACTTTTTCGCCATTAGCACAAGAACCGAATGTTTCTTTCTGCGTGGGACTTGAAGGAAGTCGAAGGAATTGACGTAGGTAAGTACCTCAAAGAAAATTACGAACTGAGATACTAAAAGCAAATTGTATTAAGGCTATGTTGTTATTATGTACTTCGATAAGATAATGGGGAGGGCAAAAAAACGCCTAAGGAGCACCTTCTGCATGAAATGTGAGAAGTTTAGGGAGGGTAGGCAGGTAACAAAATTTAAAAAGGGAAGAGTAAGTGAAATTAAGTGGAAAGAACATCAGGGTGACTTTTGGTCAGGAAAGTACAGAGTGGTACACTCAGGTACAGAGAACGGTCACACGCAGAGAAGAAGTTAGATAGTATAATTAAAGGCTACAGAATAGTAAGTGATAAAATCATTGTAGTTAGAATAGAAAACAAACCCTATGATACAATAGCGGTTCAGGTTTACCTATATGCTAACTTCTGGGTACGTAGATGAAGAAATAGAGCAAGTATACGGAAAGCTAGAAAGCACGTTAAAGGGAATATTGGGGATGTGGGGTTAGTAAATGAACAGTAAATCGAAGGGAAATGCGAAGCAATAGAGACTGAGTTCGATAAAGGTACGACGGACGTAGGATATAGGCAAATTACGAGTAGGTTTAGTAAGGCAATGCCAAAGTCCAACGTTCTACAAGGTACAGATGGAGAATAACTCAGAGACAGGGCAGAGAGATGGAAAGACTAAGTGGAACAACTATACCTGCTGTTTCATGCAACTCATTTATATGGATTCTAAACTGAAGAGTTTTAACTAGCATAATCTTGCCGCCAAGATAGATAACTCGCCCCTCGTTCGGGGTTTCGAGCCTACAGTTGAAATTCGAACACAATTTACGGAATTAGGTGTCGTAACTCATTTGATTACAGTTTTTTCGACCCCAGTGACGCCTTCATTCACGGTGAAAATGTTAGTTTACAAACAAGTCAGTACCTACGCATGCACGCATCAAAACAATTCCATAATTTCGACGTGTTTAAAAGTATGACAAAAACTTATATGAATATTACTTCTGTTCAAGACCATGTAGTCATAAATAAAGCAATCATTACACCAAAAACGTAAACGATTACAAAAAAAAGGATAACGGTATCAAATATGTGATTTTGCATAAGGTTAAATTAAGTCAATTCCAAAACAAAGATTGAAACTCACAAAAATATAAAATGCTGCATATAAAACGTAAATACCGTATAAAGAAATGCAACTGTTACTACCTGTATTAAATAACACAAAAATAACAAACATTTACGGAGCGACGCGTTCGCGACCGCCCATTAAAGACAATATGCCAAACGTAACCAACGTTCATGCTCTCTAGATGACGCAGGTAGGTTTCCCCCTCCTAAAAATTGCGTGATTGCCAACTCTCAACTTTGTGTGCATCGCCGTAAGTTGTATATACAGGGTGGAATCTCTTACTATCGAACGCAAATATTATCACTATTGCTTTACTTCCGGTTTTACCTTATTTTAAATAACACCCTATATTTTATTGCATTTTCGAAATATACATGAAAATCTACACATTTCCCTATACCCAGCATCAAAGGTTTTCAAGTTATTTAGGATTTTTGAAAATTTTTGATGTGTTTGCCTGCTTTTCTATTCAGCCTTGTACCTATGACTCCGTTGACTTGAATTCCAAAGAGTCTTCCAAAATTAGCATATACTGACTACGTGAAGAAAAATTTAAATTTTGGTCGACATCCTACAGGGTGATGGTCAACTAATGGTCAATTTTAATAACTTCAAACAGTAAAAAGTTGATTTTCTCAAATTAAACCCGCTCTATGTTTTTGTATTTTAGATATTTTCTAAATTTGTAAAATTGTAACCGTTATGCATAATTTTCTTATGCTCTATTTAAAATAAGAAAGTTGCTATCCACATTCGGTAAAACGGAACGATTTTGATAGTGTAACGTTATTTATAAAATTCGGGTTCGATTTATATCAATATTTATTAAACAAAACTAAAACACTATAAAAACCGTACAATTTATATCGATTATTATATCACACACACTTCGCAATTTATATTTCCGTGCTCGATCTCGTTCGATAGTAGACTAACTCGATGTTCGGTCCGCAACCATTTACACACGCAAGCAATGTAAGTCCAGTACATTCTCGAATGTTCCTACAACTTCCACTATCGCGCGCGTAGAAAATTCCAGAGAATTCTGGAGCATTTCCGTTACAATAGTCTTTTCTTCGATAGATCATGAAAATTTATGTGGGTATGTAAATGTTCAAATTACAAATTTCAATTACAAACCCGAAGGGGGCGAGTTCGATCCCCGGACCCGCCAACAAACAGCCTTGGCATTTTTCCTCTTCGAGGTCGACTCATCCTCGTTAAAAATGAGTCGCTGGGGTTTACCCTGGGGTAACAATAGGCGGATCTGGAGTGCTTGCCACACTACTGCCCTGAAATTCGTTCCATTTAGGGCCGGGTTAAAGTAAGTGATTCATACTTGTTTAGTACTTATGCAGTAAAACGTCGTCAGATGTTCTAATGCGGAGCTACTACTAATTATTTGAGTCAGAATATACCGGGTGGTGCACGGTAGTAAGAACATAGGGTTTAAAGTAGTTTAAAATAGTTTAAAGTTGTTCAGAATTAAAAGGTGCATACAAAACTGTTTTTACATGTTTTATTAAGCTTTTGGTATACCCGCAAATTTAAAAATAAATTTCAACATTTCTCTTATTAGTAACAATAGCCATGACTTTTGTTGTTTTATGAATTGCTGCTAATAACAAAATTGTCGAAATTTATTTTTAAATTTGCGAGTATACCAAAAGCTTAATAAAACATGTAAAAACAGTTTTGTAATTATGCACCTTTTAATTCTGAACATCTTTAAACTCTACAGTTTTTTTCTGTAAAATGTACAGGAGGGCAGGATATTGCATAAAACTAATTTCCCATGTTAAATCCTTATGTTTCTGCTTACCCTGCCCCACTCGGTATAGTAATTTGAGATTAAAAAGAAAAAGTTAATGTGTAAATGTCGCATTAATTAATTATGCAATCTTAGAATGATTTCAGATAACAAAGTACGTACCCAACTATATCGAATAAAAGGAAATACGAGAGAATACTGCTTGAATTTGCTAATTTGAATACCATTTTGACATGAAATAATCCCGAAAACACTAAACGTTTAAAATATACACGCGTTTACAACTTCGCATTACTGATTTCATAAAAAAATAAATAAAAATGTATGTGTGCATATGTTTCCTAATAGAAAAACGTGCAATTACTTAGTTAGAAATCCTCCCGCTCCTCTGAACATTCCACCTTCAAATCACAGGTATTGTTCGTCGCCTCTTACGACACGCAGTTTTCTGTGCGGTAGGAGTAGGTGTTTTATCCCCGCTCCTACACGGGTAAGATAAGTCCAAATGACAAATTGGCAAGACTGAACAATGAGATTGTCGTAACCGAACATAACTGATGGCTTACAACCCTTTTTCGTTTTTATACATAACTACGTAATACACTTGGTGGTTACGGTGTTAGTCGAAAACTTGCAAGGACAAAATCAGCATTTTCCAAAACCTTGGAGGAAAGTGCACACAGTAAGAAAGTAGTGGAGAATGCAAAAGCAATAGCGAAAACATACGAGGTAAAAATAACAATAAACGCAATGCAAAGACAAATTATCGCTATTTAGTGATTAGTTTCCATAGGTACACATTTTTGACATAGATATACATTTGACAAATTATGCATCGAGACATTAAATTCTCAGTTCTTCAGAGATCAAAAGAAGGTTCGCATACCTTACCCCTCTCTAACATTTACAGCCTACATCTCTTTGTAGATGTGGAAAACTTTGCTGTTGTTACTAGTTGTCACAAGATTATCGGAGTTTTTGCAATTTGCTCCTCAAGATATCTCTAAAGAACTACAAAAGTGGCGTGAGCAGATCGTCAAAATTTCTAAGTGAGTTTTCAGTGCATTGAAGCATTTTTGTATGTTGGTTTCTAGTACTCCCCCAAGCAATCGAACTGAAACCTTAAATAAGCATTTGGACGGTTGTCTTAAGACGTTTTGCGATACCATAAAAGGTATTGGTTTGGATCCGATATTGCTTCCAAGGTATAACAGTACGTTTATCAATGTAAGGCACAACCCTGCTGCAAGAATCTTCTACTCTACTGGGTGATTTCAGAACACCGTTTATGGGGTGATTGAACTGACGGAAGCAAAACTTCGAGGACTTTCGTCACTTGTACGAAACGAATACGTCATAGTCAAGTTTGGCTATCCTCTAATTAAGATACACGTGCCTTTGCGGTTCAATAAAATTTCGGTAAGTCACTCCGAAACCTAAAAGCTTTGCTCAACGTAATTTTAGTACGAAGCCAACTATTACGCAGAGCTGCTTGGATATAGCACGGAGAGTTTACTCGTCGCGGAGGTGAACAGCTTTTCGTTCTGTTTTGATGTGATCATCAACGTGAGGACTGTCTCCATTCTTCGAGAGCAGTTCAAGATTAGCACCCTTGGGTATACGGAAAGTCATAGAGTTAGATGACTCAATTGGGTTCTTGCAGAAAGGTAGCGCTAAGTCTCGGAGGTAGAGTGTCTGGAATAATTGCAGACATCTTGTTGAGCGTTATTCAACCAGCAATCGAACCAATGATTCGAAGTGCCATCTGCCAGGAAATCAATAACATGTTGGACTTTGTTGTCGACTTAAGTACAAATCCTGTAAGTTCTTGGGCGAATTAAAGTGTGTAATTATTGCAGTTGGTTTCGCCGAAGCAAACCCAGATATATCCAAGATGAATGTGCACGAGATGCGCGCGAAAGACATCGTGGATAGTGTCCGAAGGTAGATGTACCTGTTTCAGTTCAATTCAGTTACGATTATTTTCACAGTGGAGACGTGGCGCAGCAGGTACAAGTCGCGTCTAAGTTTCTCGATCAAAAAATTGACCTCATACGTAATGGAATCAATACAGTACACCTCGATCCACTTTTCATACATCCAAAGGCAAATCCAGACGCAAGGGTAAAATGATGAGTGGGCAATGATGTAATTAAGTGCCGTTGTAGATATTTTCTTTGGTTAGGTAAAGCTATCAAATAGTGTCTTAATGGGGTTGACTTCACTTGCGCGGATGAGTGACGTTATCATTCAGTATCAACGTCCAACTTTGAGAATTGGTATACCTGTTGGATTTAAAAACCTTTCGGTAAACCATACTCCTAAGTTTTTTTATTTCATTGGCTAATAATTGTAGTTTAACACGGACTACGAGTTTATGATGCTGGGCACAGTATCAGCAGGGAATATGGACGCCTACGTGCGAGGGTGTATCTTCCAATTGGACCTACAGATTAACACTGCTTTTGTGAGGTTAAAGGTGGACAACTTTCGCATCTTATCTCTAGGGTTTGTATCAACCACAAGCACTTCTGTGCAGCCGTGTTAATGTTTGCGTATAGGCAGCTGTCTGTGTGGCTCGGGGGTAGCGCTGTTGGAATCACGACGAGTTTCCTTGTCAAGACCCTTCAACCATTTTGGGAACCTGTGGTGTATCTAACTGTGGAACAGGTAGTCTTCGATCAACTCCAACAAGCCGTTGTTTCGTTTAATAATGTTACATGTGTGATTTTAGATAACTGCCATGTTCAAGTTAGAGATGTGTATTAAATTTAAATATGTGATATTTAATTCCTTTCTCAAATAATCATCTCTGTTCAGTTACAGTAACAGTTACCAACTATTTCACACGAAAATTGGTTTTTCTTTAATGTTTATACCTATCTTGACAAATATAGCACTTCCTGCGATCTTATTGGTCTTATCTCATTTCCCGTTTCATCTAGTCGCGGCTACATCAAACTGCCAGATATCTTTTTCATTCTTAATTTTGAGAAATGGTAGATTTGTTGGTCAAAGAACTATCTTACATAGGTACTTCTGATTGACTGAATCGAGAAACTACATGCGGTCTTATAATCTCAAAAAACTTGAACTTGTTACTAAGCAACTTACGTGTCCAAAAGCACCTTGCTTCCGTTATTGGTAAAATTAATTACCTATAGGTAGCAATTCAGGAATTTACCAACGGAAATCATAAACGATTATTGATTAGGTGTAGGTACGCTAATTGCTCAAATCAGTAAAGATTAAATTCTTTCGGAGTTAGAAATCTAATCAAAATCTATCGTTGATAACTCGATAACTTGATTATAATAACGCACTTACATCTGCAGCGATGCATAATTACTTTAGCTTCCAAAATGAAAACTTTAACGTGTTGCGTACTTTTAGCTTTGTGCGGTCTGGCAACTTCTGCATTTAACTTTGATCAAGAACTGTTGGCTCTTCTGGGTGGTTTAGAAACAGTCGATAAGTGAGTAATTCAATTGCGAAAAAAATTAACAATTGTCACAAAGGAAATCTACTGACTACTGTCTTTTCCAACGAGTGAATCTGAAGTTTAATCTATTATGTTTTAGCTCAGCTTCAATTAACGATTACATCGATTCCGTATTGGTGGGCCTGAATCAGTTTCTCGACGATCTCCACTTCAGTAATGTTGACTTACCAGTTATCGATAAGTCGTTCCAATATTCATTCTTTTCGGGCAAAATAAATTTAGAGAATGGCACGCTGAATAATTTGAACACAATTGAACGAGCAAACGATAGCGTAGTAAAATACGCGCCTCCCTATCTCCGAGTTTATTTGCCACTGAAAACCACCAAGGTGAACCTTCATTACGAGTACCAGGGAAACCTTATGGGCATGACACCCGAAGGTGTAGTTAATGGTAATATATCACACTTGGAGTTAGCAATGGAAGCCGGTATAAATTTAAAAAATCTACGTGTCAATCTGTTTAAGTTTCATATTGAGAAGATAGCGTATGTGTACAATCCGTATCGAGCAGGTCTAATTTGAATTTTTAGGGGTATATCGCTTGTTTTTGAAGGACCTGGATTCATAACGTCCATTCTGAATGGGGTTGCGGGTATGCTAACGCCAACAATAGAAGAGCTCATACCGGAAAAGGGTGATGAGATCGTGAAAGGTATATTGGAGAGTAAAATATCCGAACTCAACAAAGTAATTTGCGAAAAACTGAACGATTGTTAAAAGCCGCGTTTTCAAACTGCAGCTCATAAACACTTTAAACTTGTCCTCTGCAAATAAAACATTGTTTATAGGTATTTTTTGGTTATTGTACTTTAGGATCCAGAATATTCCTACTTTGATTTCTTATGGCTCCCTCATTCATGCTAAACCCAGCCTACACGTATAGCGTGTTTTTTTTGTTGAAAACACAAAAAGTATAAATGTTTGTTCATAAAATACAATCAATAAAAATATACCAAGATAAGGATGATCATTGGGATGTTGGAAACCATAGAAGATATGAAGATGGTCATTAGGGAAAAGAAGCGCAATTATCGAGTTATTAATAATGTTTTAAAGAAAACCAGAAAATTCCAATTACTTCCGAAGATATGCTAGAAAAACTGAAATTTACCAATTTTCTTTTTATTATTTTATTTCTGATGTTATTTGAACAGGTACACTTTCTCATTGCCAGTCGTCAACTTTATTTTCTTATATGGCCCGTAAAAACTGTATTGAGTAGACCTTTTTTATTTCGAATACAGCCCTATATAGCACAAAAAAATATAAGTTGGAAACTATTGGTTTCCACTAGAATCTAGTTGTAAGCAATAGTTTCCAACTAGTTACTAGATGGTTCATGTTAAAAATATTTACCTACTTACTGATTTTGGTTTCAACTTAATGTCAAAATTTCTAAGCGGACCGCGCCCCTTGGGCCTCCGGGCCTGTGTTCCATGGAACACATGTGAATACGCCACTGGTACTTATGTAGATGTAAATTGTATTATATTAGCACGAACATTCCATACCGAAAGCAAGACTAATAAAATTATGATTAGTGCCCGACTCCCATAAGAGAACATTGTCGACACTCCGTCCGTCTGTTCGTTCTTCCACCTGATTTTTACTAATCTGATCTTTGGTAAAAAATGTGTACCTGGTAAAGAGCTTAGAAACAAAAAGATGGAAATTTGTCGTGATAACAGCTTCGTATTGCGTTTTTATTACAAAGATAATTCTCTAAATTAGAGGAAAGATTCATACTGGGAGGGAGTGTGCCGTAAAGCATTGTGAGGTAGAGTTTCGAAAGAAAATACTAAAACTGGAAAATGTGAGCGTACTGTGATTGCAACACAAAAACAGTCGAGTTGAGGCTGAACGGTATATTTTAAAGTAGGAACTATTGGACTGTCAATTATATTACAAGATTGAGGTTTTCCAGCCTGAAAGGTAGGCAACACACCGTACACCGTTTTAGAAGTAGAATTATAGCTTTGAATATAAAATATAGGTATTTTCAAAGATTATAGGCTTTCTACATCACCACAGGAAAAACGAGATGCTACAGCATGTTTAGAGAACTGATATGGAGCGGATCATAAAATTATAAATAGGAAAGTATTTACGAAATGAAAAGTTTTATTTATTGTAAGAGTGAATGTGATGAATGAGGAAGGCGAAGAAAGTACTAAGAAACAGAACAAAGACGCCGTTTAAAATTATGTAACAGCACTCAATTTGTTTCGTCTGAAGACACAAAATACAGTTAAGTAATAAATGTGTAAACAAATCAAACGAGCTCCTGGTATGGTTATAGCGTGGCATTACCTATTAATAAGGATAAAGCTACGCTCCTATTGAATTCCATGCAATTCGGTTAATAACTAACGGAGATGTCAAAAGGGCCTTCTTTATTTTTTGGCCTACATTACCAATTCACGAAAAATACTTACGCTGCCTTCGAACCTACATTTGTTTTCAATGGATTCGCTGTAGAAACCATGAGTCCCTGGGGAAATGAAGCCAAAATCATAACGGCAGCAATTGGCAAAAGACTCCGGCAAAAAACGGGAGAGTCCCGCTCAACCCAGTTTATTCTGTTTGACCCAGCGTAGAACTTTCGATATCAAAAATTCAAATTACCGAGCGCTAAATTAAAAGGTTTGGTTCACCCGAGTAGTTATTGTTCCAAACTACGCCAAGGAATATTTGTGTGTTAAAAAATTCGTCATCGTTCGAAATTACAAATAAACGCAGGCAGGCACATTTCTTAAAAACACAATCCGCTATACGACAATTTTCCAACGGTATTTGTGCAGCGTAATGAAGTTGGGGAGAAGGTGCAATTAACCCATTGTTTCGTAACCAATAACAACAAAGAAAACTGTTATTACACCAGTAAAATCAAGTAAATAAAAGTTCAATGTTATATGGACGTTATCATAAAAGGCAAATTTAGTGCAACCAACTCTTTGGTATACAACTATATACTCTTTGGTGCAACCCATTAGCTAAGAGATTTCGCCAACAAAAAATTAAATTAAATTAAAATAAATAAATTAAAAAAAGAAGATCCCTTGTCAAAAGAAATAATAATTTTTAAGTAAGTAACCAATTTAAATGGATTCAACTTAGTTTAAATTTTTATGTTTCCATGTATTTTGCCAAAGAACCTGTTGAATTTGGTGTCAGGAAGTTCCTAGTTCATTTTCTCGGAATTAAAAAGGGATTCCGTAATTTGTTGTTTATACTGAATGTAAGTTGTAACCAAATTCAATGGTTTTTCTATTACTTATTGTGTAATGTTCATAATAAAAGGAATTTTGGTTATGGTGTAAATGCACTTACTTGTATTAGTCGAAATCAAATTTAAACAATTAACGTATTTAGAGGTGTGAAGGTCGAAGCCATGTCAAAGTATTCAGATTATTCAGATTGTGACAGGTATAAATATTAGTAAATGAAATTTCAATCTAAAAGGGAGATGTTTTTTTTAACATTTGACATTCTTTGAGTTTTCTCCAATATACGTTTTGCTGGAAAGTGGAAAAGAGATTTTGTAGCTAATTTTTAAATTATGAAGCTAAAATCTCTCAAGTAAGCCAAAACACTATAAAAGAAGTAAAGATTTGGAAGGAACTCCGAATAAAAGACAACCGTGGGCATTTGAATAATTTTTTGTAATAGTTTTTTTGTAGGAATTTCCATTTCTTAAAAAAAGTAAAGAAAATATTGCAACAGGGACTCCTGCAAAATGACGCCCAAGGTAAGAACTGCTGCAGTTTCCGCCAAACTCCCTAGCTAGGTACATAGAAAGTGCAAGATAGACTTCGAGGAAGACCTGCGAGATGAAAAATTCCCAGATATAAAGCAAAATTTACAGGACGTCTTTGAAGTTTTCTATAAAAAAAACGTACTTTTTAGTATTATTAAAACTTCGAAAAACCCTTCTAAGAAGTTCTGCGAAAATGTTTCTAATACAATTGTTAGGAAAACCCTTTGCTTGTTTAAAGGTGGGGAAGGGATCGTTGTGTCTATTGGGCTGAGGTGAGGCTACGCCTATTCCTGTCCACCTCAGACAAAGTGTTAGACTGATTCTCATTGATTCTTCGTATCATATCTTGCATAAGGTGCGCATGCTGTGATTTGGAGTACGCACAATATATGGTCTTCAGGAAATAACCATCTGTTTCTGTGTACTAAACTGTCTGAAAGCAATTAATCTACAAGATTGGTGGTATTGTAAAGAACATGATCAAGTAGGCACTGTGAACATCTAATTTCTGGAAATCAAGTGCGCTCAGATCCTGAAACAGAAAGTTCTCAGGACATTATTCAAGCCAAAGTTTCCGTTTTATTTTTTTAAAAGATTGAATCCTGTTTCAAGAACAGCTTCAAGTTTCTATAAAAATTCTCTAATAACTGAGGCGTATGTCCCTAGTTGGACAATGGTGAACAAGATTTATCATCTTTATAATGGTAGTCAATGCTTAATGGTAGACAATTGCATTGTGCGGCGCTTTGATTTCGAATCCTAGCACAATCATCCAACGCTGCAACGGTTCTTAGCTTTGGTACAAATGAGAACAAAGCTGTTTACTTCAACTCACTAAAGGTGTAAGTGTAATTGTTGACTAGTTTCAAGCTTGATTGAAAAGAGCGTTCATTTGGGAGATCCTATTCAAGACGAACAAGTGAAAATGGGAAGCATTGCACGTTGAATAAACAAGTTTAAATGTATTTAATTTATTTAACATTTTTTTTAGTCTAGTGTATGTACACAACGTTCATACATTGTTCATAACAACAACCGATGGGATTTCGAGGAAAAAATTCACATTCTCTCGGTAACCCTTTGTGAGCACATTGTTAATACCGAGGTTAATACTTTTAAACGATTCAAAACAGGTACCTACTTTCTAACACCAAATGTAAGGGGAAAGTGTCTAAATGAATAATTAATCGTCTTGGAGTTTATGAAAACATTCGACTTATTGAATAAGATTTTAATTTTGAAGCCCCGTTATGATATGCTTTAGATAAAGTTTGCAAACTTTAATAATTACATAAAAGTGAAAAGCTTGTAAGGTATCATTTGAAACCCTCGTTATTTTTATCCCTCACTTCCCCATTCTCCCTTAAAACTCTATTGATTTTCTTAATTCCAAATTTCTTGGGCGTAAATTCATCGTCGATAATTTGATTGGAAAGTAATTGCACCAGAGCGGGTCTGTTCCAGACCATTACAATTTATTGGACCATATCTAATTAACTACTTAAGCCAACGGCAGCATCCCTTGAGCGAAAATGAAGGAGTTAGTGTTAGATTTTGATTATAAGGTTTTTGAGTGTGAATTTTAACCTCGGAAATGGACTCAGGCATTCGCTTCTTTTTTGGGCATTATTAAAAAGTTGTTTGTCGACGTCGCGAATCGTGAAATTAAAAATATGTCTAACCAAAGCGTTGTAACTTGATCTTTCAACAAAATTTGGTCTTTATCGTTCAGTTACGACGCTATGGTTTGAATCTTCACAGTTAATTATAAACACGTAGTTATAAATTACACCTGCCCTAAACAAGATAAAAATGTCGCTTCTCTGACTGGGTCGATGAGTTCGTTTTTGGATTACTAAAAACAAATCGCGTTTAAAATTAGTCCGAACACATAAGTTCACGTGCTCCAATTCAATTACCTACAAAGTCGTCTGGAGTTTAAAAAAAACTTTGAGCAATCTACACCGTTATTGCGGTAATTCTAACGATTATCGCACAGATGCGTCACACTCGAAGTTCTTCCATTGTATTTTGTTTAACACTATTCAGTTGCGTATTTTTTTTAGTAAGTGTCCCCGTATTTATTAATTGTATACTCTGACCGTGAAGTAACGGCTGGTTTTCGTGTAACGTGTTTATATGCGCTTTTGCATTTTTTGGAGGAGGAGGAGGCCTCGGTAACGTCGCGTTATTTTGAGGTAAGTCGGCGAATTCGGGGGGCGGCAGTTGATGATGCGAATGGTGATGTCCTAAAATTGAGGCCGGATCGCTTTTGACACCGAGTATGCTCGACTCCAAATCCCCACAAATGTTGTTGGGCATTTGTCCGTTTTCGTTACGTTTTTTGGGCTGACCGCCATGATCGTTCATGCGCGTTTTATCTCGTTGATAATAAACGCCGGCGAATATCAAAACGTTTAGTATTAACAACGAACACCCTATCGCGATTGTTACACTAAGCGCTGTTGAATACGCGGCGAAACCGTCCTCGACTGGGTGAGGTGTTGTTCCTCCTCCGAGTTCTTCCACTCTCTCCGTGCTGTCAGATGCTATCGTACCGACGACGGATGAGTTGATTCCTAGCGAGGTCATCTTTGACAAATCACCGTTGGGGGATTCTGTCGTTGTTAGCTTTCTCGGGTTAAGCGACGGGAGCTTGGGTGGTGGCGGATCGTTGTCCTCAAGGGCGTGATGACTGGATGGCACGTCGTCTCCTCCAGGCCTGTGCAAGTCCGGTACCAGATTTAACCAAAACGACAGACGGTGGGCGCGATAGTGATTCTTGAGTTTAGGTTTGGTGTCTGAAATTTCAAAAAAAAGTTAGACATGTCGCATGGAATAACCCAGAAAAACACAACATGTAGGTAAACAGGTCAACGAAAATTCACACACATCTGGAAAGGCAAGGAACTGTCAATTTGGAGAACTTTGTATTACTGTCCCTTTATCAATACACTTTCATGTTAAACATACGTTGGAGATTAGTCAAAAAAATGTTATTCTGAACTTACCATCCAAAGTTTTTATAGTTATACAGGTAATAAAAAGTTCATTTTTAAAACCGTATCGCGCCCATTTAAGTTTGGATAATTTACCTGAAAGTAAAAATTGTAAAATTGGGTTGGGAGGGACACACGGGCATATATAATACATGAAAGTGGACGGTAATGAATGGGGAATGATGAGAATCGATATTTAGGTATGGTATGGTATGGGTGCAATAAAAAGAAAACTAATAACAAGATAAAGAATTTTATTATTTGTGTCCGTTTCGGCAGCGCAGCCGTTATCATCAGCGGACTATATGTACATACAAGTCATCTAAGTGGATTTGCCTACCCCTACATAATAGACCACGACTACGAAGTAATACTTCATTCTGAAATACAAACGTACGTTTCCTAGATAAACCTCAATTATTTTGCTTATAAGAAACTGTGCGGTTTTTTTTCCAATAAACCAAAATTTTTCAATAACCCAAACAAAAAGGACAGTTGTTTACAGTTTCTCAACTTATCTGCAAAATTCTGTGAGAACGGTAAAAATACAGTGTTTGTAAGAAAAATGATTACTCAAATGTATAAATCGGGCTTAAACCAGGGATATAAGAAAAGAATATTTAAAATACGAACAGTTCAGGGACGAGAAAGAACATTGATAAAATTGAGGACCACGAATTTTATGTGGATGGATTAAGAATGATGCAATTGGTGCTCTTAAAGAAATTCTTTGAAATTTTAGAGATATTTACATTTAAGTTTTTATATCGTTAGTAGATGTGTCTGGTTTAGATATTTGCACTAAAAGTTTTGACATCACCTGTCTTAGTGCGACACTCCACTTGCCCTTTATAAGTACCCTTTTCCTACACTTCGTTATCAAGACCTTTGCTTTGACTACACCAACAGATATGTGAAGTTGTATGTCCCCTAAGTTTTTGAGCGGATCCTTATGAAACACCTACAGGAGCTTAAAAAACCATTGTCACGTAATATAACTTTTGATTTAGAAGTCTGATCGAAAAAGTACAAATTGATTTGGATTCTACGCACCAAAATGAATAAGAAAAAGTGTTTTCCCGAGAAATTTTGGTGCAGTCGAATTTTGATAAAAAAGGAAGGAACTGCCTTTTTTTGAAGCTCGAAAAAAACATTGTCGCAGATCGACCCGGAAAAAGAATTTTCTTATAGAATGTGGCCTGTAGAATCCATAATTTCAAACAGTTCCAAGTATGGGCTACTAGTTCAAAAGTTACAGCCCTTTGAATTTTCTTTCGAAATTGGTTTCTAAGTAGTCTATAACTTTTGATTGAGAAGTCTGATCGAAAAAGTACGAATTGTTTTGGATTCTACGCACCAAAATTAATAAGAAAAAGTGTTTTCCCGAAAATTTTGGTGTAGTCGATTTTTGGTAAAAAAGGAAGGTTATACACTGCCTTTTTTTGAGGCCCGAAAAAAAATTTGTCTCAGATCGAGGAAAAAGACCCGGAAAAAGAATTTGGCCTATAATTTAGAATTCCAAGTTCCAAGTATGGGCTACTAGTTCAAAAGTTACAGCCCTTTGAATTTTCTTTCGAAATTGGTTTCTAAGTAGTCTATAACTTTTGATTGAGAAGTCTGATCGAAAAAGTACGAATTGTTTTGGATTCTACGCACCAAAATTAATAAGAAAAAGTGTTTTCCCGAAAAATTTTGGTGTAGTCGATTTTTGGTAAAAAAGGAAGGTTATACACTGCCTTTTTTTGAGGCCCGCAAAAAAAATTGTCTCAGATCGACCCGGAAAAAGAATTTTCTTATAGAATGTGGCCTGTAGAATCCATAATTTCAAACAGTTCCAAGATTGGGCTACTAGTTCAAAAGTTACAGCCCTTTGAATTTTCTTTCGAAATTGGTTTCTAAGTAGTCTATAACTAGGCATGGGAATTTTTTTTGGTATATCGATATCGAATAACAATAGGTACAGCTAAAAAAATCGATATATCGATAGATCGATAACTATCAATAGATCGATAACTATCGATATATCGATAACTATCGACATATCGATAACTGTTGATATACTGATACTTATCGATATTTCGATAGTTATCGATAAGTATCGATAGGTATCGATATATCGATAACTATCGATATTTCGATAATTATCGGCTAATCGATAAGTAAAATATATCGATAGGTAAGTACCCGATACTTATCGATAGGTGAAAACAGTTATCGCCCATCCCTAGTCACGTTCCACTTCCCACAAAATGACTCCATTTTAATTTTTTAAAGAGAGCTTTTCTGTTTTTTTAAAGGCAAACAATATGAAAAGGTATTACTACTAGATCCAGGTTTACAATTACTGCAGCAATAATTAACCGCCAGGGATTACCATGTACATACGTATACATTATTGTTCATAAAGTATAATTAAAGCACAGAATTATAATGTGCCACAGCACTAATGATAGTATGTGTTTTTTAGAAACGAGCCATGGATGCCAACTTCAAAAAATATTTTAAGTTTTTTTCGTTTTTCTTGGAAAGGTAAAACATGTAGTTTCATCTAATTCAAAATGTATGGGAGGAGATAACTTTACACTTGACTTTTTTAGAAACAGCGAATTTGAGATAATGTTTTTCTGGCATTTAACAGCGCTAAACATAGCACCGCGTGCGTTGATATAGTTTTGTTTTTAATTTTTCTCATGTTATGTATCAGCACTAAAGACTAAAGAGCACTGTCGACATATTATTTCATGTGGGCGGTGCCAACTTCGCATGGGTATTAAGGGAACTGTTTATTGAGGATGCAACAAGCATGTGGGCGATTAAAACTCTCTTTGGTCATGTGGTGGTACAGCAATTTCAATGTGAAAATCCAAATTTGCAAAGGTTCGAGCGCTAAGCTAAAGAGCACTAACGTAGCACTAACTGTCGACCCGTTTTTGTCAGATGTCACATGGGCGCCTTTATACAATAATTATACTATTGTTGGTCTAGTATGAATATGAACCGTGATTATGACATAAGTACGATCTGCAAACTATGAGAAATGCATTCAGAAAATCACCAATAAGAGAAGGTCCGTAGATACCTATATTTAGCTTCTCCTCTTCCAAAACGTCCTTCATAAAGAGTGGAAATAATAGACAGATTCACGTTTAATAAATATACCTCTATTCGTTACTTCTGGCATAGTGTAAGATCTATCTTACATAAGTATAAGCGTATGGGGAAGGTTGAAAATTTAACCAAGTAGAGTTGTAGTATAATGAAGACTATGAAAAATCGTGTATACACCCCTAAATAATCACAAAATCGTCGCAGTCGGTCAAATGCCGTATTTTCCACATAAACGCCTTGGGTTGGCCTTTGATTAGTGGACTTTTTCCGCATGCAGTGCCCATCTGCAGTGGAAATATTCTTTCCCCGTCCCCACACGAGTTTGGAATAGAGACTCCACAATGAAAAAAAATTTACATGCCCAAACGCATACATAACGTATCCCGTTATAATGCCCAGGCTCTCGGTAGTTTAATTACATGATACTTGGTGGTCAGTTTAATGCAGAAACCCAAAATAAAATGTTTTCAAAAATACACATAATAATTAATGTTTTCTAACTGTTGAAAATATCGACTTCAGACTTACGGCGATGCAACTTAAAGTTGCAGAGGTGGCCAAGAGTTTATTACACGAAACTGTTATAGGGTTTTATATTACCTAATATTATTAAAATATAGCAAATGATGTACAACGATACCATAAAAAGGGGGCGAGAACAAATTTAGGCATAACGATAATGAAGTTGAGAAGCCACAAAAACAGATACCTGTCAATTATTTTGAATTCCACCTATGATATAATGGATAAATTCAATTGCGTTACACGTTCAGAGAGAGTTTAGCTCAAAAAATTCTCCCCCAGGGAGCACTATCGCCGGGGTGCATAAATAAAGGCAGCTGGACAGTTTAAATGAGTAAGAATTAGGCTCACCTAAATTGAGATATTTTTTGTGTACTGCTTCGTAAGCGGTCCATTCGATGTTTTTCAGCTTGCTCCTTTCCTGCCTGCTTCCATGAAAACCGTCCGCTTCCTGAGGCTCGTTCGGATTACTGTGTCCGAAAAAAAATACAAGTTTATTAACGATCAATCCGATTCGCTATTTTAGGGCAATAAACAGAAAGGTTTTACGATGTTAGTTATGGAACTAAGGCAGTTTAAAACGTATTAGGAACAAACAGTTTAAACTTACCCACTTCTTGCAAAGTTGCTCCAATAGATCATGGTAGTTTCAGATAAAAGCACTTCGGACTTTGTGTAATTTCGGCCAAAGTACATAAAACCACCTACTAACGGTGCCCCGAATAGGTAGGGAAGCTCCTCGCCATGTATACAACCTTGCCGCTGAAATGTAGGATTACGTACTACTTATGTGCTATCCGACGTTAATTATTAATGAAGGGAAGAGGAACCTCATGCTTAATGAGGCACACAAATACTGTAATCTGTTACGCTAATGAAAGATTCAGACTCGAATACGTTTACCATAATCTTTTTCACTTTCATTTTGATTCATTCCTTTATTGAAACGTTTACTTTTGTCTCATGGTTATAATAGCACGTATTTTTTTTGTATTGCAATTCATAACTGACCCGAAATACATTCAATAATCACTACTATACTGTAATAAATAAGATTCACTTATAGGGGTTCGTACACTGTGTTTAAAACTCATTAAGCTTTTGACAAGCCTGAAATAATGGTTAAGTACATTAAAAAATAAAAATAAAGGGATCGATCTTCACTATGAATTATCAACTTTGTAAAATTTATGTAACTCTGGAAGTCAAGTTTCGATTGGAAGGGAAGTACAATAAAATTCAGCAGTATTTACTTAGTCATGTAAGTTGGTCTGGGGAAATGCATTTTCAATGCCCCACTGTGACCTTTTTTCCTTTATGAACTTGTAGTGATATACATTAAATAATTAAGTTGTAGCAAAGCACCTGTTTTCCGCCTTGAAGCTCCATACCCAAAGTTATGACCACACCGTATAATTGTTGAGTCGACCAGCTCTGCTGAACGTTCGGTATCGAGAAGCGTTTTAAGTTAGGCGCTTCGTTACGGAAAGTGCCGCGCCGAAAGTATTATAGAAGCTAGGGGTACTTGATTTAATATCTAGAGTTGCGTTTTAGCCGCCCCTATCGTAACGAAAACTGTAATTAATTCGCGGTTTGTAACCGTTCCCGTCAAGATCTTTAAATTGTCTTTGTTGTGTTCGAAAGGTCTTGTCATTTAGACTATGAAGACAAATTAACATGTCAGTCATGTTAAGCAAGGTTTTAGCATTAAAACTGCAAAGTCATGCAAGTTGACTACGTCATCAGTTTGATAAGCGACCATAATGCTCACCTGAGAAGTGTCAATTAAAAATAAGTGTTATTTGGACTACCGATTTTAGAAATTTCAATCCGGCCAATTAAGTAAGTGAAATTAACAGTAGCTAAATAAGTGTGTTGCAGAAAACGCCATTCCACATAGTCCTGTGGAGAAGCAGGCCGCACAGTTATTAAAGAAGTTTTATTTTTTGATGTAGATAACCGAATACGCTGTGTCGGTTGGGAAATCCGTCGTAATTTCATTATATTTCGTGGTCCGCCTCCCATTTTTAATCAGAATGACAGATAGAATTTACAATCTTTTGTTTCACTTTTATCAACCCTTGGCATGAAAGTGATCATGATCACTTTATCTACTCCTATTGTTAAAGAGAGACATCATAGCCTACTCAGTCATACCTATTCAAATGTCAATTTACCATCTGCTATAAAATAAACAAAATTATATCGTAGGTGAAGTCAATTTGAAAATGTCTTCCCCTCACTATTCCAAAAATGGAAAGGTTCGTTACTAACTCTAGGTATTTGCACCTGAAATAGCTTTACAGTTCTAGAGGGGTTTTGTTAAAAGTTCTATTACTTACTTGAAATATCAAGTCCAAGAAAAAAAAACTGACCTTTCAAACTCCTAAAAATCACATATATAACATATATAATTAGTGGCAGTTTGAAGTGTCTAAGTGAACAATAATCATTAAAGTGAAGAACAAGATTTAAGATTAATTGGAAAGAGACAATGAAGAATGAGAAAGCATTGAAAAGAGTTGGAGAAAGGCGATCAATCATCAACAAAAGCAAAAGAAATTGGTTAGGTCGCGTGTGTGCTAAGAGACGTGATGGAAGAAGTGCGGAAGGAAGAGAGAATTTTTTCGTAACGAAGGCACAAACAGAGAAAATTATTACTATTTGAGTTATTTATTAGGTATATCTTAAGATTGCCAAAGCTCCAGATGGAAATCTACCTTGCATCCCGTTCTACTTGTAAGTTGAAAAGGATCGCCCTTCATTTCTGATGACGTCGTGTTAAGATTTTCGGCACCCGCTCTGGTATTTATATGATTTTATGATAAAAAATAACAATATAATAGCACAGAGTGAATCAAATAGACTTACAAATGTTTATTATCACGAACTACACGCCATTCATGTAATCAGATACATCACAGAGACGTTGATTAAAAAAAAAGGTTATACTAATACGAAATAAGGCTAGAAATTTTTTAACGCCAACCTAAAGGCAAATGGCAATATATTACAGCGTAAAAGACAATATAAAGTATACTCAAGATGACGTTTACCCACTTTGCAAGTTCATCGTTATATGGCGATCGATGCCTTTTAACGCGAAGAGTATAGTTAACTAGAGCGTTTTCTCGGCTTCACTTAAGAGATGACTCGTTTCATAATTTCGGTTCAACGTGAACCCCTTTTAATTTAAAATATAGTTTCTTTATGGAAATTTCCATTTACATTTAGATCCCGTATTCCGAAATTATGAATGTAATTGCAATCCGTTCTCGCGTATTCAATCAAAATCATTTGTACTAAGCTTTTTTATAATTAAAAAAATGAAACTGGACAACTTTTCGAGTATCTTTTAAGCCAAGTATTTGCCGATGGGATTCTTTGTAATATGCCATTTTCTGTTCGGGTCTCCTCTCGAATAAAATGATAAATACACGAATTAAAAAATACACTCTGTCCTGAATGCGATGGGGCTGCTTTTTTATCCAAATTTGTGGGAGAATGCATTAATCTTGTCTTCTGCTTCATGAGTTATGTATTATTCACGTATAGTCGTCACTCTCGCAAGAAAAGGTTACCAGAGAACTTTGAACAATAAAAGTGCATGCTACTCCTTTAAATCAATAATTGCAATGCTACTAGATGGATTTTATAAAATGTTACGTTGCAGTGAAGGGGATTTAGCAACACAACTTTGAACTGAGTTTATGTGAGAATCTCTGCAAAATGTAGGTACTTAATAAATATATATTGTAACGTTATTTATAAATTCCGGGTTCGATTTATATCAATATTTATTAAACAAAATTAAAACACTATAAAAACTGTACAATTTATATAGACGATTTATACCACACTTCGCAATTTATATCAGATTTTCGCACTCTATGTTTCGTCCGTACTCGATCACGTTCGATAGTAAACTGCCGCGATGTTCGGTCCGCAACCATTTATACACGCAAGCAATGTAAGTCCCGAACATTCTCGAATATTCCTACTATCGCGCGCGTAGAAAATTCCAGAGCGCCATAGGCGACGTCATGTCTTGAGCATTTCCGTTACACTGCCCCCTTCTTAATTCTGGGCGTCTCGTTCAGAAACTGCGTTAGTATTACTTTTTAATGCCTCGTGTCGGAATCTGCAGTCAGAGCCTGCTCGACAAACACCTTTCTTGAAAAAGTAACAGTCCACAGTTTTGCGGAGGGTCGTCCCCTGTGGGTTGAAGCAGCATACTGTAATTCGAACGCTAGTGTTTCTAAAAATCACTTCGATCATGGTTCGCACTATCTTCCAGTCCAACCCATCTAAACCACATCCAATCTTCGGGATCGCCAAGCTATTTATGTCATAGTATGCCATGAGTTTCTTTAAGCTTTTTAAAGCAGACCAGAGGTTTTCATAGGTGGGTTTGCCTTCTGACGTTTTCTTTGAAACCAAGTAGAACAAAGAGCGTTGACTATCTTCCAAGCGCAGTACTTTACCCACTCGTGGTCTTTGCTTTAACAACTCGTCCATTCTTCCAAATCTTTTCCGGAATACGGAAGCTATACCTCTACCCATGCGAAGGTCTTCGGCGACACAATGGGCGATGGAAACGTTAACCGGAAGCTCAAAAATATTTTGACAAATTTCCTGAGTAACGCCAAATCGAGCTTTCTTCCGCTGGGCGTAATTTGACATAAAATCGTTAAAGTTTGGCTCGATCCCAAAGCTGCGTTCCTCTTCTCGAATACCTCTAACTTCTTCGTGGTTGTTGGATCCGGCATATCGTGCGAGTCGATTAATGTGGACAACTTTCGGTTTCCGGTGGTTCATTCTGATACGATATATCACGTCATTTATTTTCTTGATCACCTCATACGGACCTTCCCATTGTCTTTGTAGCTTGGGAGAAAGACCTCTTCGTCTCTGTGGATTGTGCAGCCATACCAGATCTCCAGCTTCAAAAGTTTCATTGGCCGAGCGGAGGTTGTATTGATTTTTCATGCGATCGCTGGCAATCTGAATATGACTTCTAGCCTAGTCGTGAATATCGTTCATCTTCGCCTTTAGTTGGTCAACATAATTTTCACCTGCGACATATTCTTCATGGGGTTTACGCCCAAACTCGAGATCACATGGAAGGCGTAGTTCACGACCCAACATAAGGCAGGCAGGAGTCTGACCCGTGGTCTCGTTGACGGCTGATCGATATGCCATAAGGAACAGGTGGAGGTACTGGTCCCAATTTTTCTGATGTTCTGCCACGACTTTTGAAAGATATTTACCCATCGTTCGATTCATTCTCTCCACCATTCCATCTGACTGAGGATGCAAAGGTGTTATTCTGGTTTTATTGGCTCCTACCAATCGACAAACATCTTGGAACAAAGCCGATTCAAAGTTCCTTCCTTGGTCTGAATGGATTTCTATAGGAACACCAAAACGTGTAAAGAACTCCTTTACCAACACTTCTGCAACTGTTGCTGCCTCTTGGTTTGGAATGGCGTAAGCTTCAGTCCACTTTGTGAAATAATCCATAGCGACTAGGATATATTTATTTCCGCCATCTGTCTCGGGAAACGGTCCTGCGATATCGATAGCAACTCGTTCCATTGGACTACCAACGTTATACTGCCTCATGGGTGCCTTTTTCTTGGAAACTGGTCCGTTTCCAGTAGCACATAACTCGCATTTTTGACACCATCGCCGGACATCTTCTTTACGGTTGACCCAATAGAATCGCTCACGTACCCTTTGCAACGTTTTCGTAATACCAA